AATTATTTACAGTCGACCCCCCTATAACACTGTTGATTATTCCGCTTTATATGAATTCCATGTTGTACGAGTCACTTAGATTTTACAAATACATGTGCCGGGCTGTGAACGGCTCACGTATTTGTAAAATCTAAGTGACTCGTACAACATGGAATTCATATAAAACGGAATAATCAACAGTGTTATAGGGGGTCGACTGGGTATTGTGACATCGTCGATTGTCTGAAGCATTTTGTTTCAACAAATAGTCTTTGAAGCAAAATGCCTAAAAATTTCTTACATGGATCCATATGAAGAATGAAGAAATATGAAAGAAAAAACAAGATCAACGACTTAATATTATAACAACAATACAACTGAAACACGTGAAAAATGAAGGTCTCCCCTTTATGAGGAATAGGAAATGTATTGAAATATGCATTTATAATTATTAATATTCTAATAGCCATTAAAAATATGTAGCTTCTTGGAAAACCTGTCTGCAATTTAATTTGCAGACAGGCTTTCAACTTTAAAAGATAATGGCCTACAAATAATAATAATAATAATAATAATACAATTACACAAAGAATTATCAAATTAAATTTATAACTGTAAATGTGTGGCATTTATAAATGAACATCCATTAGAAAGTATTTAGAATAAATGTCATATTTACCTCTTAATTCAAATGTATTTAATTTTAGAGACAATACGATATTTATATTCATTTAAAATTATATGCCAATTAAATAAGAAAAAATATTTAAAATGACAAATCAAATTATATAGATCGATTTTTATAAATAATATAATATAAATTTTCATAAAAGAATTAAAATTTATTTGTATTAATATAAATAGGATATAGTTTTTTTTCTGTTTAATTCTTCGGGATAAATCGTATCCTTGAGAAATTATAAAGAGATCATTGAGAACATAGGCGGTCCTCTGCGAAATTTACAAACGTGTACGGTAGAACTTGTTTTCTTTCGGGGTCTATAAATGGGGTTTCTTTTCGGGTGGCGATATTGGGTGAATTTTCTTTGTTATTTAAAATTCAATTGAAATGTCAGTAAACTATCATTAAATATAAATCAATACAAATATTTTATAATGCGTGTCCGTTTGTCCTCTATAGATATCGAAAAAACTATTTAGAGTAGGGTCGTCAACCTTCTGTCCTGAAAAACCCTTTCAACAGACCTGAAATTTTCCCTAAAACTAACAGAGTTCACATAAAACACAATTGTTTACATTAAGGCGCAGGCGGCATGGCACAATTGAGCAAAAACCTCATGTCATGAAGCGACTTGCTTTATCACAATTGAGAACAGTTATGAGTCGTGTGACTTTTAGGAGCTCTTACTCGTGGCTGAAGCTCCATAAACCAATATAGGCAGACTTTATATTTTCTCCCTAAACTTCGCTCCATTCTGCTGATTTCCCCCTAAATTTAAAGGAGGGGACCTCTATTTTGGTCTCACTGATCTAGAATGCTCCAAAGGGAAATTATTTATCAGCAGTAACTTTTTAAGAGAAATCGAACGGTGCAGTTGATATTAGTCCCCGGAGGCCAAAATTAGAACTAATGCCTTATTATGACATTTAGAGGGTTCCTGAAAGGTCTATCGAGGATAATTAGCAGAGACAAACAAAAAAAATTAAAATCAAATTAAGAGTTTGGCCTGGGTATCTCAGATAGTCTCTAATGAAAAGCAAAACAGTAAACGTGATAAAACCAAGAGTTTTATATAAAAATAATTGAGATCATCCGAGCAATCTCGCGAAATTTTCAGTATAAAAATACAGAGTGTTGGCTTCGAAAATTAGCATTAACCAATTAGCAACCGTCTTAGTTTAAATACACGAAGATTTGCATACTATTGACGTGATTTCATTTTTCACGTCAATGTAATTTAAGGCGTATTTATGCATTATTGATGACGTTATTGGAGTTATTTACGATGTCACATTGTTATAACTCACTGTACTGTTATTGATGGGGTCAGTATTAAACACGAAATTCGAAAATTTCGACTCTCTCTCCCTTTTAGTTTTTGAGAACATTATATCTGCATGACAGAACGAGTGAAAAATCACTAAAAATTACATCACTAAACGGTAATATCTGAGAAGTTTTTGCTAAATTGTCAGTCGGACATTTTAAAACTACTTGTGAAGTGGAAAACTCCCGTTTGATGAACAATTTACGACGAGACATTTAACGACCGGAAATTTCTCCACGTGGCGTTGGCCCTTTAAAAGGACTTCTATCTGAAAATTACCCCGTGTTTCGACGAGTCAAATCGTCCAGATTTAGTAGAAAGTATCTTTAAACTTTTCCATTTGTAAGTGAAAACCTACAGCATCAACAGAATGATTAAGTCCAAAGTTTAAGAAGTGTTTTCGAATGAAGGAAAATTGAATCTTTTACGATACTATAAATTATTCCAACTTAACCCAGTTAATAAAGTCAAAAAGATTCTTTATAATAAAGATGATCTAATTGATGTAATCTTCTAATTCTTAATTAGCAAGCCATTGACTATAATGAGTGATCTTCAAACCATTCGAGTTCTTCCATTATTTAAGAAGTAATTTTACTAATTTCAATCGATATTACTCTTTTTATCCTTTTGAGGTTCTTAATAGTTTATCTATTGTACTCGTTTTACGACTGTAAACACCATTAGAAAATATATTATTTATAATTGACTACTTGACTTATAATTATACACAAATACATCTGAACACTTTTAAGAATATTATAAACTTATTAATTAAGTATTATTATTTTGTTTGCCAGCAAAATTTATCCATTTATATGAGGAGAATTCGGACTCTTAAAATCTTATCATATATTATACATATTTTATAATTAAATTATAAAAATATATTATACATAATTATAATTAAATTATCATGGAGAATTACACGTTAATCTTAATTAGAGTGAATCGTAATTAATATATAATCGCATTATATTTGTGATTATAATTTTCTTCATATTTAATTCGTATCGACTGCAATTCTTTAATTGTTTCTTACGAATAAACTTAACTTGATAAATGTTAAATCGCTTTCTATGTGGTAATTTTACTGTCGTCAATTATTTATTCCACTTATAATATATTCATCGTCTTTCCAGAGCGATTTCCTTTGAGATAAAAGGGTAAAACAGGGTATAACATGACCTAGAATAAATATAAACATCGTTTAATAATTTAACGTAATTATAAAGTATGAATTTACGGAACAAACTCCATAAATCCATTAATTTAAGAGCTCCATAAATCCATACTTTATAATTATGTTAAATTATTGAATGGTATTTAAAGCTTATACAGAAATAAGATAATTTTTTTTTTTAGTAATTTTGAAAAGAATAAACAAATTTTATTTAAATTAAACTTAAGAAAAATACAAGAAAAATTTAAGAAATTTTAATATTTGATAAACTTATCAAAATATCTTCGGGTTTATTTATTCTGCTTAATAAATTTATACGGTAAACCAAATAAAGGACGATTGTCAAATTTTTGATGCGGATGCAAAAATGCGAGTTTTCGAATAAACTTTAGTCCGTTCTGTTTGTCGTACCACAGAATTAAACGTGAACCAATGTCAATACTTTGACAGTTTGACAGAATTTTGTAAATAGTTGCGAAGTGTGAACTTCTCTGTTGGGTTGTGTTTTCGAGGAGAATGACCTCTATCAATATACTTTCAAATAAATCGAATTTTATTACCTAAATAATGGAAAACTTTTTAAATCTTTGCAATAGAAAATTTTCTATAAAATTCTCTTATATTTTCCATTTCAAATTGTTTATATATTTAAAAATAAATAAGTAAATATTATCCTACACTCCAATCTACCATTAAATATTAAATTTGTAAATACAGTATAAAAAGATATTTTAAAATAAGTAGAACAATATATTTATTTTCCATAGTTATAAACTATATTTCTATACTTTTAAATATATAAATACATTTAAGTTAGTATTTTTATTATAGGAAAGATTTGGAATGTAATTGAATTCCCAGAATATCTTTTAAGTTAAAAATATTGTTTTCTAACTTGAAAATTTCTTGGTAAATTATTTTCTTTATCTATTTAATGTGAAAAAATAACTAAAACGTTGAAAATATAACTGTTTATGTCGATATTATAGATCTTTTCTTTATGATTCATTCACCATTGTAACGCCGTTTGGTTAGCTTTTCCTAGAAGCATTCGACCGTCCAATGTTTCTTTGAGAAATAACAGACAATTCGAGCGCTCCTGATAAAAAAAAAGACCCTTTAAATCAATATAAACGTTGACCCGAATTGTTTCCTATGGGGTGAGATATATTTTGTAGTATTTTGTTCGTTCGAGTCCTAGTTCTTGAATGGGTTATGATTTTAAGAAGGGAACATCTAAACACTATACTTCTATATAACATAAAAATTTATAAAATAAATTAATATATTAGAGTATAATAATAAGCTTAATAAAATAAGTTAACAAGCTATTAATAATTTATAAAATATATAATTTTATTATACAAATTTTTCCAACGTTACAATGAATAATTTCATTAACGAGCATTAATTAACTCCCTGTAAGTTATGTAATTCAATTATTAATTTGTTTATAATTAAATTAATTAATTTCTTAATTTTTTAAATAAGTTATTTACTAAATTTTATTATCCTTTCACTCGAATCAACTATTATTAAATTACAAACGAAATATATTTTACTTTCTTAAATTCTTTAATAATAAATATTTTATATATACGTATTTATTTATTTAATTGATATATGATTTAGTAAAGTTAATAAAACAAAATAAAACATAATTTCTTAAATAAATAAAATGATATAAAAGTTTAAATACAAAACCATTATAAATGAGTGAGTCAACAGAAAATATTTAAGGAAAATAACGAGAATTATATTTATTTTTAATGAATATTTCAAACAAGTAATAACAGCAGTAGTAGACACTAGAATGATAATTTATTTACCTCTGGTCCTTTCGTAACTCTTGTCGATAATATCACTAAGGATCTCGTTCTTGCTGGATAAATAATAACCAGGAATGTAATAAGTTTGTATAATATCAATTTTGTGTTCTTTAGCAAGAGGAACCAAAGCCTCTTCTATCTGTTTGTCGGAAGTGTCCTCTGCAACTAGCAGTATGACGTTATACCAATTAAATTTTTTCAGTAACGAAATGACTGCTTTCGAGATCTTGGAGCTTGGAGGCAAAGTTCTAGCAAACGTTTTGTATAAAGTTTTGTTCGATACTTTCTTATCCGAACATTTCTGTAAATATTAAATGAAAAAATATCATTTTAATTATTTAAATTATTTTATAATATATATATTTATTTATTTATTGTGGTAATTGTGATAAAAAATTATATAAAAAGTCAAATATTTCGTTAGAAATTAATTAATGTTGAAATCCGTGGTGTAATGTAGTTGTATTGAACGTTACTTGATATATGTAACTGCCCCTGTACAAAGTTTTAAGATGCGCCTTAGTTTTACTATAGAAAAATGCTAAAAAAAACAAATAAAAATATTTTATTCCAAATTACTGATTAATAAAAAAAATATTAATAAAAAGTTTCTAAAAGTCAAATATTTCATTAAAAACTCCTCGACTATTGATGTATCGCATTACAATTGTGACTACAACGGATTATGTGTGAAAAATAGGATCACGATTCAAAAATTTCTGTCTATAGTTTTCTATGTTAAACAGATTTAAACTTAAAATTCAATTAAAAATTATTTATTATGACATGGTCACAATGCCGTGCTGCAATTTTTAATCATATTCTTAATTTATTTAATTAAAAATATATGCTCTCCATCTCAAATAAGTAATGGTTTGCCCCTGTACATCACACTTTCCTGTTAGCAACAGAGTCGTGCAGGTAATCTATCTAACTCCTTTTGGCAGCAAATTTTTGAATTAAAATTACGTGACTTCCGGTTTAGACCGGATATAGTTAACGGGACCTTTTGCCCCTAAGCTTTCCATATCTGGTCTCGATTTATCTAACATTGTTCTTGAAATTAAGAATGGACAGACAGTGAGAATTTATAGGTTTACACAACAGATACATTTCTTATTAAATTCTAAGAAAATTATGAAATATCCAACTTCTATTGAAGAATTTCATCTGTATACAAGTACTTCTATTCAAAATTTTAATAATGATATATATATATTTTACTAAAAGATGACAAGGAAAATATATTTACGAGCGCATCTCCACTCTCAGAGATGTCTCGAAACTCGGAGTTACGATATTTTATATAGCAATTTCCGTTTATAATTGGATCAACTGTTAAATTCAGCCTTAGTTAAATGATATTTGTATGCAAAATTCGCAACCAATGTATCATTAATAAAGGTAGAAATTTTTTATGAATTTGTAAAATAAAGACCAATTTGTTTAATGATAAAACCTTTGGTTACGGTAGCAAAGAAAAAAAATTAGAATTTATTATCAAAAATCGGCAATATTTAAGTAGATTAAAATCTAAATTTTTTAAAAAAGAAAAATTTTAAGCCATCTTATCAAAGTTTTATTACTTTTATGAACGAAATATATCATTTGAAATGCTATTTTATATTCAAATTGTTAACGTAATCATTCGTACAAAAGGAAAGTTTATTTAGAAGAACTAAGAATAAAATATTCTGTATGTATTAAATTGGGCTGTAATTTGAAGAAATTGTAGACCTGTAAATTCCGATCAAGACCAGAAGTCACGTCATTTAAATTCAAAAATTCTCCCCTGAAAGGTGTTAGATAGACGATCGGCACGACTCTACTGTTATAGGAAAAGTATGATTTACAGGGGCAAGACACTAGTTTGAGGTGGAGAGCATATATTTTAAATTAAATAAATTAAAAATATAATTAAAAATTGCAGTCTAGCATTGTTGTGGCGATGTCACAATATTTTTTTTTATGTTCTAAATATAATTCATAAAAGCAGTTGTGAAGTAAGATGAAAGTTAAATATAACTTTCATAGTTTTAACGAATTGTAGATCTTTCCTCACTCCCCATATTTAAGAAAGTAGAAATGAATGTAAATTTAATAGAAAATGTGCAGTTTTAGTTATTAATGGACTACTTTTATATGTATTTAGTAGCAAGAAAGTAGCGGTATTCAATGGTAACGACGTTGTTTATAAAAGAAAAAAGGTTAAACATTTAAAGGTTAGGCACCTCTTTGTTGCAAATAAACGAGTATAAGTGGAAGATAAAATACTTCAGATTAAAGTAAATAAAGTAATAAATTTTCTATTTTTAAAATAAACATGAAAATTTCACTTATTATTTGGAGTAGAACGTTAAAAGAAAAAAAAAATTAGAAAAGAGCAATCGATATAGAAATTATGTAAATTTTTAGAATAATATTTAATAAATTAATTGATTCGCCTTAAAGTGTTTTATTAAAAATCCATCAGAATTCATTCGCTAATGAAAAATTGATTGAAAGAAGAAGAAAAGATTTTTAAAAAATATATATTGAAGTACTTTTCGTGTCGAAAGTAGGTTAAAATAACATTTAAATGAAGAATAAATTCTTAAGAAAATATTAAATAAATCATTTATTCTTAGAATTTAAAATTTATAGGTCATAACCGACATTTTTCCATCTTAATCTATCGATAAAAAGATGATTTTTCTATTAAATATTGTCACTTTTTTCATCATTATTGACATTATTATTACCTCAATATATGCTGCTGTTTATTTATTATAAAGCTGTAAAATGTATTAATTGTCAATATTAAATACTTTTAATGCCATTTTATTTGATTTTCTTTTATATTTTTCCACAAATAACGTCAATAATTATAATTGTTAAAGAGAAACATTGTCATCCTTACGAACAGAACCTATTTTTTAGGTGAAATTTATAAGGTAATGTCGTTATTAAGCAATTAGAAACAATTATTTATTTAGTTTATTACACATTAAATCCAAAAAATTACAGTAGAGAAGGAATAAAGAGTCATCATCAAACCGGAGAGAAGATAGAAGTGGGTCTACTCGATAAAAAAAGGGGAGAATTTTATGACGATTTAAAAAGTATTAAAAGCATCGGAATTGTTTTTATACTTTTTATAAGTGATAAATTAAAAATTCGAGTGACTGCTTTACATAAAAACTGTTTTTAATATTTTATGACTGATAAAACATACAAGTTTCGTTTAAGCGTTTGTAGATAGGCTCAAAAATTTGAATATAATTATAAAATTGGGACCATTCGAGAAAGTATAACGTAAGAGAAAGGCCGAAGGTCAGAAATACAAGAATACAAATATAATTGGCTACAGTATGTTAACAGAATAGCAGTAAATAGATTATTCCAAGCTGTTCTTAGGTATCAACCGACAGGAAGGAAGATGGAGAATGAGCTTAATCTATTCGTAGATGATGATGATGCTAAAATTGGATGTTCAAAAAAGCAAAATGTCTGTTAAAAATTTATTTCTGTTTATATTAAGTTAGTATAAGATCTAAATAAAGAGCCATGCTTGTCAAATTTTCTAGTCATTTAAATGTAAAATTTTGTCTGTAACTGTGAATCGTACTATTTTTTGCAGTTTACAGAGTTTTAATTTGTAAATAAAGCTAAAAGTTTATACGATCCACCAACACAAGAAATGAATAGGACCAAAGTGTAAAAGTTATTCCAAAAATCTCACGAGTTCAAATGGTAGGAACTTTTAATTGGTCCTTTTCGAGATAACAGTCAATTGGATTTCTTTATAGGTCTACAATAATTCAAAACGTACACTTTGATTGGGCTGTAATATGAAAAAAATTGTATACCTATAAATTTCCACTGTCATCCGTCTGTCTGTTCTTCCTTAATCTCGAGAACGATGTTAAATAGATAAAAGTCAAGACCAGTTGTAGAAAGCTTAGGGGCAGAAGTTCCCGATTAACTGTATATAAACATTCGATATACAATGGAAGCCACGTGATTTCAATTCAAAAATTTCCCCAGAACGGAGTTACATAGATGACCGGCATGATTTTCTTGTTAACAGGAAAAGTATGATGTTTCAGGGGCAAGACATTGATTTGAGGTGGAGAGCATATATTTTTAAATTAAACGTGCATCCCGACATTGTGAACATATCATAATGATTTTTGCTCGTTTTAAGAATATTTTTAATTGATGAAATATATAAGAATACGACAATCTTTTTTTCATTTTTTCGTATTGAATGGATGAAACATAAAACATGAAATTTCATAAAGTTGACATCGTAAACTATTTTATAATATCGACTCCATAAATTTTGTAAATTCTTGATTAGTTTCCGCTGTCAATTTGTCTGTACGTACAGATACTACGTCTCAAAACAGATGTTTTGATTCTGTCAGATCGGTTTTCGTTTTATGACCCCGATGTAAGTTTTAAATATAAACAAATTATTAAATTTTCAGTATAAGATATTTTGATTTTAAATACTGTAGTTTATTCAAAACTTTATATATTTGTTACTATTCTAAAAATACAAATATTAATTCTATGGAAGAGAGTGAGAGTCAGAGAAGAGCAATATCAAATTCATCTCTTCGGTTAGATATTGGAGCAAAGGAATTTATGGTTTTCAATGTATAAACTGAGATACAACAAGTAATATTTTCAAATTCAGGCGACAAAAACAAAGAGAAAAAACTCGTCTTCCAGCCCAAACAAAGAACTAAATATAATAAATAAGTAGTGTCGAATTATAAAATTACGTATAAAAATGGCAAAAAGATTAATTTTGTGGGTAAGGATGAGTTTTATAAAAAAAAATTATAAACGCTAATAACCAGTAAAATCGTCTTTAAGTCCGACCTACTGGAGATAAGCGCGACCCCCTTTATCTCACTACCTCCTCGACCTTTAACCTCCAAAATTTAATAGCATAAATTCCCCTAATATATAAATTTCCCTGCAAAATTTCAGAAATTGTCGATAAAAAGCACAAGAGTTATTAAGCTTTAAACAGGGTGAACAAAAACGTCCCCTCACATACGCTAACATCATACATACATGGAAAAAAATCCCTAATTTTTTTGCATTTCTGGACGTCCTCGATTCCAAAATTGTAAAAATCTTGGAGGTAATTTTTTGACCGATGGCCATACTTTCCCTCTGTTATATAACAGAATCGGAAAGTAAAATGTATGGCTCCTAAAGTTATTATGTGCTTCATAATAATATTTTTCCTAAATAATTGCAGATAATATGTTTCGTTTTATGTAAAACGATGCGTAACAGAAC